TAATTTTTTTAAGATGAAGCCTCAGAAAGTTGAAACAGGTGGTAGAATAGTTGGCTTTCTTTTGTTAACATTGTATAAATATGCACATACTAAACTAAGTTTACTAAGCACTTGTCTGCTGTTTGTGGAAACATCTGATTTTTACTTGAAGCCAGGGGAGCCTGAAAGACTCAGAGACCAYGAGGGAAGTGCACTCCAACACAGCATGGAGGCACAAGGCTTGGATAATTACTCACAGATGACTTTAGACCTATCTGCAGACTCAGGAGGTCTTCCAAACCTGGGCCAYAACTCTGTTACTATCACTGTATCCACTGATTATTGTATAAWGAAYATTGCTGCCACTGTGTAGAAAACAAATTGCTTGATGATTTGTCTGAAATAACAGAACTGATGAGCCAGATTACAAGCAATAAAGGATGCAAATCAGTTCAGTGTGTTCCCAGACACTTTGCTCTTTTGCTGCTCCCTCCACTTAAAGCTAGGTGTGTTCAGCAAGCTCTTTCCTTCATTTGGTGAAAATGATGTCACTTGTTAGGAGCCAGTGCTTCGTTATGAACAGCAATGACACCTTTCAAGCACATGAGCTGATGGCAGTTGCTCATTCTAAGTCAGAAAGTAACATGACAAGTGCTTAATGCTGAACAAAAAAAAAAGTGTCCTGATTTGCAGAGATGACTGGCCTGACAAAATTGTGTGGTGCTCTAGAAGTACTCAGTGACACAGTTCCTGCTGATACATTATAAATGCCAAATTTCATAATTGGTCTAGTTTTGGTTTTGTGTTGTGGGGTTTTTTACTGTTCAATGGATGGAACATGATTGCACCAGAGAGCACTACTGTTTATGCAMCACCCCTCCTAACTACTGCTATCCTTTGTGCCATATCTATTAGTGAATGTTAAATAATTACCTACAGTATRGCTTTTAGGGGTGTGAATAATGTGAGGCTTTTACTCTGCCAGAATGGCTCCACTTCCCAAAATGCATGCACAGGGTGGGTGACACCTGCCGATGACCTGCTCATTTACTTGAACAGCTCTAATTGCCATGACATATGAAATACAATCTAAGGTTTCAAACCATGAGTGCCATCTGTTCTGTGTCAGATCTATTTATTTTTTTTTTTTTGCTTGTTTTTCACCCCATTGCCTGCTGAGTTTGCCTCACTTTCATTTTTGTGTTTTCTCCAAGGACTGTGAAAAGAGCAGTTTGGAACAGAAAAGGGAGGCTGAGTCCTATTTTGCCATCATACTGAGCATCAGCATGAAAAAGTCATCCCAGTTAGAGTGGCAATGACACAGCTGAGWCAACTTGTGCAGTGCAGCAAGGCCATGCAGGCTGCAATATCCAGTCTCACTTCTGCCCTGCTCCTTCACTTCTCAGCTGAGATAAGAAGGCGCTTTCCACTTGATGCTCAGCTTTCACTGATGTATGGAATCAGGATAGGGAACATGAGAGAGGCATGCAACAATGTTGTGTAGGAAAAGCTTTCCTACAGTGCTTTCCCCTGACAGAACAGGTCTCTTTTGGCCTCCACAGGGGAATTGTCAACAGCAGAGTGAAGAGCCTCTTCACTGCTGGACGGTCTACATATGCTGCTGGACGGTCTACATATGCTGCTGTGGTCACAGGCCCACCACACTGCTAGACTGGAGGCATTGCTGGTGGTCCCTAGCCCAGTGCCACACTCAGAGCGGGCCATTTTGAACAGGTTTTTAATGTGTTTAATATGAGTTTCCTGTATTTTGTGTCCAATTGCTTCTGTTATTGGATACCATTAAGGAGAGTCTGATTGTCTTCTTCACTCACCTCATTACATGTTTATCCACAGGGAATACATCTCCCATTGGCCTTCTACAGGATAAACAGTCCCATCTCTTTCAGCTTCTCCTCGTGTGGGAAATGCCCTGGTGCATCCATCAGCATCATTATGGCCATTTCCTGCATTCCTCCAGTCTGTACTGTCTCTTGTATTGATGAACCTGGGACTGGCCCAAGCACTCCAGGCATGTCTCACCACAGCTGAGGAAAGATCAGCACTTGAACTGCTGGTAACACTCCTCTTAATGCAGTGCAGGAGGCTATTTGACTTATTTGTCATGMGGGCAGATTACTGGGTCATGGTCAGTTTGGGGTCCACTGGGCCCCAGGCCCTTCCCTGCCAAAGTGACTTCCAGCTGGGTGGCCCCTGCTCATACAGGCCAAGTCTGATTTTCTCAATTGCAGGACTTTCCACGTCCCTTTATTCAGCTTCATGAGCTTTCTCGTGGCATTTTTCTACAAACTACTGAGGGCTCTCTGAATGGTGGGACAGCCCTTTGGTGTATGTGTKGGGACAGGCTACCCTGCTGCTCTTGCCACTGGGCTTCTTTCAGCGTGTCAGGTTCCTCATCTTCCCTCAGCAGCTGTTTTCCAGTTACTCCATTAGTCCTGGCATTTCTAATGTTCAGATCCTCCCCATGCCAGAGAGACACACACAAAGTCCACCATCAGCTCTTYTACTGGGTGTTGTTATGGAGCCGTTCTTAACCCCAATGCTCTTGAACTCTGTACCTGACTCATATTAGGTACAGTAGTTTTATATGTAATTATGCACGTATCCGTGCTTTAGGAATCAGGACAAGGAGAACAATGCAGTGAGCTCCAAGTGCATATGCTTGGAGGGTTTCTATCACCCTATTAGACCTCCATTTTCCTCTGTGGCAGCCAAATTCTAACCAAGGCTCTTCACTTCTGTTTTTAGGAGACCAAACTTTGCCYTTAACTGGCTTGGTGCCACTTACACCTCACTCCTGGACACTCCCTGGAGTGTTCCATCAGATGTCAGCTGAAGGACATCATGAAGCCCATGAGTTACCCAAGCTCAAACATCTGACAGGCAAAGATGAGCAGGCCAGCTTAGCTAGGGAACAGCTACCCACATACCTCATCTGATCCCATGGTGTTGGTGAGAGGCTGACCAGTGTATGACATTTGGTCAGTTTTTCTTGGTGACAGGAGGACTGTGAAGATAGTGCATTGGCAGTGATGAATGCCACTCAGCTCTGAGTCCTGTGAGCCTGCCAGGTAATTCTGCTGTGTGGTATRAAAACCATTTGCATTTTTCTTGTTGAAGAGTTAGATCCCAAATAACTTCMCAACAGTTTTGCATTGTTACAATTATTTTATTTATATTTTATTTATATTTGTATTCCATTGCTTCATCCATTATGATTGATTCRGAAAGTAAACTTTCCTTTTCTTTTAATAACTACAACAGTTAATGTTGGTCTCTCTTCCCATACAATTGAACAATTATTTAATCACAAACAGAGCTAAAAAAGTCTGAGACAAACATGACATTATTAAAAAAAAGTAACAAACCAAACAGTGTATGGAGGAAGAAAAGGAATCAACCACTTAAATCTTAGAAAGATGCATTCCCCTTAGAAATTACCAAAATTAAAAAATGTATTTTATGGGAAAGAGCAGGGAGTGTACACATGCATATGCTGATGTTTCCACATCCATATCCCCAAACACACACACATATATATATGTATATATATGCGCACATGCACGTACACAGACACACATGTATTAGACTGGACAAGTAATTTACTTTATTCCCTGCGAGAAAATTATTATAACTTTTAATTCTATTAATTACATCTGTCTTTAAAACRTGAAAACTTATTAAAACATAGAACAGAAACTACTTTAAGAGCTCTAATTATTTGGCTAAACCTTGGAAATCACTGCCTGTTTAGCATAAAATACATGAAAAAATCAACTTTGAATATTTTTTATTTAAATGTACACCACCACCAGGTTCTTGGTGCTGATTTGGCTTGCTTTGCCCTTGGAGTAGTCTCCATAATTCTTTAAAATGTCTTTTATTAAAATTTTCTTTCAATACATAGGAAAAAATGTCCAAATACTGGCCACTTGTCTATACTGGGTGCCCCAGTGTTATCCCCTTTCTAGAGCCCAAAGAGCATCTTACACCACAGAGTCATACTCCTGTTTTATACACAGTGACTCCTGTTTTACTGCTCTTGCAAGAAGAGTACCTCCTCTTCTCTTGCTTCTGTTCTTCCAAAGAGATGAAACACAGCCAGCCCTTGATGATCTCTCTTCAGAGGGCACAAGTGAGAAACCTACTTTTGTCTTCCGGAGGCACAGAGGGAGGCGAGAAACCTTTTTGTAACAGCACTGTCCTTGGGGAAGGAAAAGGAACATTGAAAGCCTGAAGGCTGGCTCTGAGACCTCCCATCTGAAAAAYGAAAAACCTCAAGAACATGCAGAAAAGGTAAAAAGTGACAGGAAGGAGTGGCTTTTTGTAAGAGGGCTCCAAAGTGTGCAATTTATTMAACCCCAAAGTGCTAAAAGATCCTTTTATTCTGTTGCTTATAGAGACTTGGCAACAGTGGCTTCTCAACTACAGAGTATCGTTCTCTGTATCCTCTCCACAGACCAGGAATTCGTGATGGCTGAGGACAATGTTCACCCATTAGGTTTCCGCACATCTGGATTTGTTGTCTGTAGGTCCCTGTAGAGTTGCATGTTATCTGTTTYCCTTTTTCCCTGCCTTGATCTTAATGAATCCATTCATCAGGAGAATCAAATAACTTGCCCAGTGTAAGTTTTGATGCTTAGAGCTTGAGATCTTGGAGAAAACTCTCAAGTTTCATAAGTTCCCAACTTCTCTCAAATCTTATAGATTCACACAAAGCAGAAGTTCATTACAAAATCTCTTATTACAGAGACAATCAATGAAACCTCTTAAGTCTTTAACCACTGGGGACAAKTTTGGTGTCATAAGAACCTTTCACACTCTGACGTAATGCTGAGTTTCAGTCAGTTGAAATGATTCCTTTATGAAGGCAATATAAAGTGCCTCRAAGCTTAACACAACAGCACCTCTAAAGGAAAGTACCAGGAAAAAAAATTAGGCAAGAAGAACTAAACCTGATTGAAGGACTAGAAAGGTGATTAAAAAACCACAACAAAACAAAAAATCCAAATAATAACCTCTTTTCTCCCTCTCCTCCCCCCACTTTTCCCAATCACAAAAGAATATGTAATGCTGGCATTATTAGGAACATACATAATAGTAAGATTAGGTAGAAAAAGAATTAACAACCAAAACACAATTCTGTCTGTTTATGGCCCTGAGCAAATTACTGATGAAACAAGAGTCCTTGATTACAAGAGTTAAGAGGAACCTGCCTTTCTCTCTCTATAGAAAATGGTAAAATGCTGCTTTTATGTAGTGATGTCATGTTCCAAACATTATTCTTATTGGCTTATCAAGGCAGGCATGGCATGAGATGGTCAGGTGGCAGAAGCAAGAGAACCTGTTTGGAGATACTCAGTGGAAGGTCGGTCACACCCTGCCATTTGGAGGAAGGCAACTCCRTGTTCTTCCCAGCACAATAAGCAATAATAACAAGTACACTCTGCTCTCCTTTGCAGCTGGTTCAGCTCCTGCATTATAATGGGCTTTTCCCATTACAGGGATTTTGACCAGGTAAAAAACAAATCATCTAAGGTTCAACTCYGCATTTCACTCTTTTGCCTCACACAGTGTGCCATACCAGAAAAGGAAACATAAGGGTTTKGGGGAAAAAAAGCAATTTAAAACAAAACCACTCCAACAGGTAAGTTTTTCATTCACAACATTAATGCAATCATAAAAAGGTAACTGAGAAAAAATTCTGCTTTATCTTCAGACTGGGATGCAGTGAATAGACTCAAAACAGTAGTRTAATAAAATGCAGAGTAAATTATGTATAAAATACCATGGTTTTCAATTTTTGACTTTGATTTTTTATGCACAGAATTCCACGTTTGCATCTTCATGTTAATGTTTCACATACAGTGCTACCCAGACATGAGAACACCACATGGCAACTGTCCACAGTGGCAGTGGAATTCAAGAGCACTGCATCGACTACAGCTCCATCTCAAACAGTGCCCCAGCCCAGGCACTTTGGAGGAGTTCAAGAAACCCTTTCATAAGCAATTAAAGTTGTAATTCCAGGCAGTTGCCAGCTACATGAACCACCTCAAAGATACTACATTTTTTTTGTTTTCTTTAAAATGAGGCAAGCTCAGGAGTAGCTGTGGCAATGAATCCCAGAATGCTAGTTATAGCCTGCAGAAGTGCCAGCAAGACAGAAATCATCTGTGTGTGCAGTCCAATCCCCAAAGAATTCACCTGATTGCAAAGACTACCAAAGAAGGTAGGAACATGTASGTCCATCCCCTTGAAAGCAAAGGATAATGCTTCTTGTGGAGTTCTAGAAATGCAGTGAAGTCTCCACCACAGGTACACCAAATGTTCACAAACAAAAGCATTTTTCCCAGCAAGAATGTGATTCCTGACATTTACAAGCCCTGATTTAAGCAAGCAGGTAAGTAAATCAGAATGTGCTACAACACTGAGCTATAAAGGATTGTTATTCTCTAATGTCTGCTGCCTCTCTATTTCAAATGTTCCAATCACAGGATACTCCAGGAGATTTTCTTCTGCTGCTGTCTCAGACGATGTAAACATACCTAACCTACTTGAGGAGAAGGCAGCAAAAGGGTTCAGCACTTACTCAGGAAAAAGTAATTTTCCACAATAACACAAGTGTGCAAAATTCATTACAAGGCACAGAATACATATATGTGTTCCACTTGATTCCCACTTATTCAGCAGTATTTCTCTTATGATACCTCTGTTAAGCATCACTTTAGTTTAATTCTTYTTTAGAAGAAAGCCTCCTCAGGGCATATTTGGCATAGAAGACTTGATTTACTGAAATGGATCCTTCCAGAATGTCCATACGTGTGTTAATTAAACTGGATTAAGTTCTGGAGAAAAAAATATGTTAGTCCAGTGTATAAAGCGAGTCACATGGCTGGGCACTGTTTAGCTGCAACAGAGACCTTCAATTAGTCCCTTCTCTCTAACCTTTTTACTACTCATCTGTATTGTATCTTCCTGCAAGTTACTAAAATGAAATTTCTTTTTCTCTGAAAAGTTTAAACTTCAGGGTGATTCAGGAAGGCCCTCTTCTTAAGGGGATGGAAAGATATGAAATTATATTATCGATTGGTGTATTCTGTGGGGTACTTCAGGAAAATGATGACTGTAGCTGTTTTTTTTTATGTAGTATTGAGATACTGAGCACATCTGCTGTCAGTCACAGCATGAATTGAAGAAAAATACCTCAGCACTGCAGAGCTATATCTGGATCCCTGTTCATGTAGTTGAGATCAGAAACCCCCCCATTGTCATTAAATTATGAGTCACAATGAAGCATGAACTGCCTGTTCAGCAGGACATGGCTGTCTTCCCAGAAACCCAAGGCTTGCTGGCATTTGGGAATTGTGGCCAAGCCTTGGGTGGCCTGGTGCAGGGTAGGGGGCATTAAAGGCAAAGTCTTCTTTGATTCCAGAACCTCTCTAGTAGCCTGTTGCAGTTAGGAAAGGAAGCCCATACCAAGAAACCAAAGAAAAAGAAAACAAGATTGCAGATTTCATTTCAAAACAAGTAGTCTGGAGGTTAGCACAGGGACCTGAATTTCAGTAAAGCTTTAGCAGAAGAAGCACTGTCATTGTTTGTGGCTGAAGAGGTTCTCATCCCTATAAAGGAGCTAGAACTAATATGATTATTCTTTTTCTCAATAATCCATGTTGATCAGATGCGGTTCCTAGCAGCATATTCAGGGTTAGGAACTTTGACACTGGAGAGAAGCATCTGTGAGAGCAGTTGTGGTTCCCTTTCCTGCTTTCAGGAATTAACAAGCAGGTTCAATCCATGAGGGCTGTCATGTCCTTGAACTGTGCAGTAAGAAGGAAACKGGACTTTGCTTTTCTTCAGTGAGTAGTTTTTAGTGACACATCCTGGTTGTCATCTCTTTCTGTAAAACAAGAACGGGAAATAAAAAAGCAAATGGCATTTGTGATAAAGTGTGCACAGACCTCTTCACTGATCTGCAACTCTGCAAATCCATGTGGTTTTATGTAGCACCATGTTTCTGCTCCCTCTGTCACTTTCAAGGACAATGAACATAACTGGCAATTCAAATACAGCATTTTGTCACTTTTGACAGCTTTAATAATCTAATAAATCCCTAGCCATGTCAGGTAAATGGTGCTGCATCCCCCCCCATAAAGAAATAAATCACCTACAAATGCCAGAAACCTTTTAATTTAATGTAACAGAAAGGATTCAAATCATTCACACTGAACCTGAAGCCAGCAGGAATCCTATATATGTCTTTTTTTGCCTAGTTATTTCTGCCCACACACAGGCACAAAGGGCACAGGAACACAAACCTTCCTGAGGACTTGACCAGAGCTGTGGCATTCATCTCTAGGGTGGGGTTTTGGACCATTCTCACACTCCATTAGGAACTGGGGTTTGGAATTCACATATGATTTTATTTGAACCGATTTACAAGTACTCTGATACAAACTCTCTGATACCCGGCAGCCCCATTCTATAAAATTTCATATTTGAAGTTTTGAACAGATGGCAGATTTTCTGGAAAGGTAGTATCTGACCCATAGCCAGTCACATACACCAAAATACACAGCATTTACCTTGGAATATCAATTTGTATTTACCAAGTTATCAGAAGTCTCTGAAAAACCTCTTACCTTGCTTGAATAATTTGTTATAATTTATAAGGTAATTAAGATTTAATGCAAACAGCTTTGTGATTRTTTTGTAATTGTATCTTACTCTGTGTTTAACAGATTACTTCTCCACCGAAAATCTTACACATAATTATAGAACATTTGTCTCCCCTTCCAGACCTTTAACTAGTTTTCCCTTCTTGCAGATTCATCTTGTATTGCCTGTTATTTTGTTGCCATTCATGTAATAGAAGGGAATGCTGTCATTGGTTGTAAAGACAATGGTAATTATTGTAGGAATTTTTACAGTAATATGTGATCTCTACAGTGATCCATACAGTAAGCTGAACTAGTAGTGGTTCTCTGATTTGTTAAAGATGACAAAGTTGACTATTAATGGAAAAATCTGTCTCCTTTTCTCCTTAACTATTTTCTTGGGGAGTTTTTTGGGTTGTTTTGTTTTTTCTTAAACAGCTGCAATTAGATTTATTTYATCAGAGCAACAAACATCAAATGCAGAACTTAACATAATTCAGTGCAGTGTTGGACAGCTTCCTACTGAAGATTAATTAGATGCTAATGCATTTCAAGACAGACTTGCTGGTCCTAATTTTACACACACTCTGTGTCTCAATGTCCATACTGTACTCCCTATAACCAAGGCTGATAGAATTGCTAGAATCCTTATGCCAGTGCTTCTGAACTGCAATTTTCAGTCAGACTGTAGCATCTTATCCTGTTTTAAAAGCAGTCCACAAAGTAATGTGAACCATGTCAGAGCCATTGTAAACTGGGCCACTCTCCTCCAGGCACAGTGGGAGGCAAACTGMGATAGCATCAGAGGCAGGAATCCAGATGTGGATAAATGTGTCCAGGAAAAGGAAAGAGTAGGAAATTAGATGATCTATGCATAAGATGTAAACTAGAGGGCTTTAAACCACTTTGCTATGACAGTCATGAAGCATGAATCTATAATTTCTAACTTCTCTATCCATTTCTAACTTCTCTGTAAGGTAGAAYTTATTTTTTATAGTAATATGAGTTCTCCCTTAATTTCTGATTTTTTTTTTTTTTGGTTATACACTTACATCCAAAGTCTTCTCCCTAGCTCTATTTCCCCACCCTGTCAGGAGAACATTGCTGCAAATGCCTCTGTAAGTTTTTCCTTGCTTCTGCTTAAAAAGCCTCTGTCCCAAAAGCTGCTTGGCTACAGTTTTGGAAATGTTCATTTAAGTTGTGAAGGCAGAAATACAGTTAACTTTATAAAAAATCAACATSTCTGATGCACAGAAACATTCTCTGTATTGATCTATATTGTAACTGGTAAATGAAGGACACAGAAYTACTGTCACATTGCATTCCAGCATATATGTGCTTAAGCTTTTACTGATTTCAGCCAATGACAGTGAATTAGATATGCTTTAAAAAAAGAAAAAGCCCATGATTCCTGTGATAATGAATCAGTACAAGCTTTGTGGGAGTGACCCACTTCTACTTGTTATTTTCTTAGAGGAATTTACAATAGAGAAGAAAAAACACCAGGAAATGGTTTCCTGAAGAGACTGATATAATTATGATGCTGGCAAAGAAAAAGTTAGCTTCACTCAAAATTCTGGTGAGAAGAGGGAAGGGTCATAACCCTCCAGTGTCCAACCTTGTCTGGGTGGCAGCACGAAACATGCTATGTGCTGCAGAGCCTGCTGCTSTGCCTGTTACTGAGCAAGCTGCTTCCACTTGCCAAATTCTGCCCCCTCTCAKATACTTACATTTAAAAATTAAACACCCACTCTTCATACAGCCTGCTGGAATATCTCACACTGATTCTGATGGGCACTGGAGAACTTAGCACATAATCCCATCTCCAYCCAACTCTAGAGAAGAGTTCCCCTGAAACCTCACCGAAGATCTGATTCCTTAGTTATTCTGCTGCTGCACAGCCTGAGGTGATGACTGTCTTAAACAAAAACTCAAAGCTGAATCTTCTTCAGTGCTTCCTGAGTCTTCTTGAGTTTGCGCTTCTCTGAAACTTCACTGCTTATTTTAAATTGGGAAAGGTGTAGAGGTRTGTTCTTGACTAACAATTATCAATTAAAGGCACATTAAGGGTATTTCCYAAACATGGGAAATGACAACTAGTTATCAGCTGACTCTTCTGAGAAGGCAGAAGGACAGGATATGCTGACTCTTCGGCTCAAGATACTGTGATACCCAGTCTCAGCTGGATATTGAATGAAATATAAAGACTAGACAGACAAGGGAATCAGAAAATCAGATACAGAGACACAGACAGAAACAYATGAGCATTTGAAAAGACATTTAAAACTTTCAAAGTCTTTCTGAGMTGACTAAATACTCAAAACCTTGTTAACAGAATCTTCCCATATCAGAGTTTTTAATGGCAGATGCACTTACTGAAAATTTATTACAGTACATTTCAGAGCATTATTCTGTATTGCCATCTTCAGACTTGCTCCTGCTCTCAATTTTGGATTAGATAGTTAACTCAGAAAATTAAGGCAAAAGTAAATGCTGTTTTTTGAATCCAAAATCCAAACCAGAAACCTGGACCCATTCTGTGTTGAATATGCCTGGGGAGAATTTAACACAGAACTCATTTCTAAGGAGTGTAAAGAGAAATATTTGCCATTCCTTGTCAAGTCCTTGAAGTATTTAATTACTTGCTGAGTTAATGCTAACAAGCCACTCTGTAAAAATAAAAATATATCTGTTTTGTTAGTATTTGTGATTTCATGGAAGGGTATTCCTAAATATTTTTCAGAGAATACCAACTTGGTTTCACAGATGGACGGAAAAAAAGCAACACAGTCTTAAAAAGATAATCAATATTTATACCGGAAGAATGTCTGGTCCTCGCTGCTCCATAATGCTACAACATGAATTTCAGATACATTCAGCACATAAATCTATACCTAACTATTTTAATTTTTACTCCTCAGTTCGCCTTTAAATATAGAAGGAAAAGAATGGGAAAAAATGAACATCTTACAGCCATGAGTCGTTGAAGAAATCTCTTTTAATATGACAAACCTACCAGTGGGCAGATGTTGATAGAATCTAAATGGGTTACAAGAAGAATGAGTTCTCCACAGAGAATGAAGCTCTTCTGAGAAAAATGTGTGTCTATGCTTATGTGAGTAAAATATAGAGCTGGCAAAACATAAGGTAAAAGCCCTCCAAAGAAACATCACCTTTGTACAAGTATTTAATAGAAGCCAGCTTTTGTCCTGTACAAAAGCTGATAAGAAAGTGGATGAACTGACTAAATAGTATGAATAACAGTATTCTGTAAGAAAATCAGAAAAAAACCCCAATAAATACAATAATGACCTTCACTAAGGGCAGGGTTGCTTTAGAGATTCAAATCTTCCTCCTTCGGTGCCTGGGTCCTATCCTCACTTCCAGTTCCCCAAACTGAAACAAAGCATAGCTTCATATTTCCCCTCCTCAGCTCCTCCTGCTGCCAGTTAACAAGCCTAAGAATGATGTGGAAAACATCTTGTTTTAACCCTTTGACAACTGTTTTAAACATAGTGAGGTTTTAAGATGTATATCCAAGTGTGTCAGCAGGCAAGTAGATAAAGTATGACCTGACAGGCAAAGATACCTTGCCTGAGGCATCCATCAGCCTCCAAAACCTGACCAAATAGCCAACAGCAACAACACCATGCCAAATCCACCTGCCCACCTTAATGACTTAGAGAAAACAACCTTCCACAGGGAGCCACTCATGTCTACAAACACTGCAACAAAAAAAAACCAAAAAACAAAAAACATTGTCCAGCATTAACCACATTCTTACAGGTAAGGAACTGTGTATCTGTGCAAACATCCTGTGAAGCAATGCACAGTGTTGGGTGGAAAGGCAATACASGAACAGCCCTTCTGATCTGAGGTTCATGACTAGAAGGCTCTGCTGAGCAGACACAGGCATCATTGGGATACACCCTTCTCCTCCCTACTCTCACAGGCAAAAAAGTAATCCACAACCACAAGAMACACACATGGAGAGGCCCAGGGATTCACCAATGCAGCCAGTTCAAAGTCCCKGCATAGTTCAAAGCAGAACTGCAGAATAAGCAGATGAAAAAGAAAACGGTCTGTTCTTCAAAGCGCAAGTGGTGATGACATGTGTTGCTTTTTCTTGTTGCTTTCTTCACAAACATTTCTATAGCTGAAAAATAATTAACATGTGGGAAAAGCCCTTTGTATCCTGATGACAAAACAGGCTGTTTACTACAGAATAGCACAGATCACGAGGTCTGTGATCCTGTGCTGCACAACTGCACAACTGATCCATATTCGGACAGCTTATTGATCAGGATAGGAAGGTTGACACCAGAATTGTAGCCGCAAATAATCCACAAAACTCCTTTTTTTTTTTTTTTTTTTTTGGGGGGGGGGGGGGGGAAGGGGAAGGTTTGTTTAGAAACATGCCCCAAATATTCATTTACAAATTGTACTCTCCAAAGTAGTAAATAAAAGTCCTATTTCTTTAGTTGCCCATGTTTCYGTATCCTGACTAGGAAAAAAACCCAACAGACTGGTGATTGCTATCCAGTGGGTAGATATATTGACCATTTGGTTATTTCCTTTGTTTGATTTCAGGATGTCTTCCACTTGCATGGGTCTCAATTATCATGATGCACWGGATTAAATCAATCTCTCAGACAATCTCTTTGGCTTCAGGGTAGTTATTYTGAAGCTAAGGACAGGCTGACAGTAATCCTATTTGGTTCCTCCTGAATTTGTATGGTGACGTTTGCAGGACACAGATAATACTCCTGTCTGCAAATGTAACCCTTTATCACTGATGACAAAAGTATTTTATCAACTGAGTGCAAGCTGGAACAGGCTTAGGAAATTACCCTGCCAAATACACCTGTGAGTAGGTGCCTTCACTGCCTTCATGCAGATTATAAGTGGGCATACAGAGAATATGGACTGAGAAAGTGAAAATTCTAATTTTCACCATAAAGTGAAAAAGTAGACAAAAAGTATTTTGGAAAAAAAGTAAGTAGACAAAGCRGTATTTTGGAATAAAAATCTAAAATACCTTTATATATACCTTTAAAAACTCCAAAATACCTTTAATATCATTAAAAAAGATGTATTTTTATTTTAAAATACGTGCTTGAAAATTTTGTCTGCATAAAGTCTCATTTAATCATCCTGTTTCATTCATGTGTGTTTCATCTGAGTGTACCTGTGCCAAAATGCCAGTATTTTGCCATGTTTTACTAAACCTGCTAGACCTGAGTTTTCCTCTCTGAGTACTGAATGGAGCTAATGCCAGATGTGCTATATTTATAGTATTTATACTACGTTTATGGCATTTCTGGCTACAAATTACAATTTGCTCTGATGAGCAAATTTGTTTTTTTTGTGCTAGAGACAAAGATGCAGCAAAACTGCAAATTATTTAGTGAAAAGACACAAATTGGATGCATAGCAGTAGCTACTTCGGTCTCATGCACAGAGGCAGACTGACAGAATTATGGAGCTGGAGGACTGATATTTATGGTTTTCTGTAACCCTGTAAAAACAAAACACATAAAAGAGAAATTCTGAAGTGTTCACCGGAGCACTACATGACKACAGTACTGTTAATTTTCTCATCCTGAAATAGTCAGGGGTCTTGGAAGAACTTGTGTGAAAACAGCAACTTCCTGATTTGGTATCCTGACTTCCATGTCATAATTACTGTTCAGCAGCTCCAAATATCAGATGAAAACATCTTCAGAAACCAATCATAGCCAATGGAAACTTTTACACTGAGGATAATGAGGCCAAAAAATTCTAATGTCCTTGTTTATCCKGCAGATGAACTGCATGCTCGTGGAGGCAAGTACCAACTTCACCATTTTTACACACTCAGATACACTGATGTTCACTAYTTTCAGCCCCGATTCTAGCCAAATGCTACCATGACTAATAGTCTCTGYATCTGAATGAAATCAGCATTTCAACAGTAAGCAAAACAATGCACAGAAGCAATATTCTTCTCCACWTTTTGTTATTCAAGTGTAATTATCACTTTCTCTTCTTATGAATATATATTTATAAAAACTACTTCTGAGAAAAAGCTCAATGTTTTCATAGGATGTCATTTATAAAAAGAAGCAACTGGAGGAGAACAGGCAAGACAGATGACTATATTCTGCTGTCTATTTTCCCTGACCTCAGAAGAAAATTTTGTTACCATCAATAGTTTCCAGTTGTTTAGGAATCTGCTAGGAAACTAACTGATATGCACTGCCATCAAACTGGTAGGAACCAAGATTGTTTTGCTCATGATTTGCTTATAAGGTTATATGGTATATTTCTTTATTTCTTAAGTTCTACCTATTATAAAATACATTGTTATAGAAAAGCATCACAGGAAGGAGAGGGGCTATACTTGCCGTAGCTSTGCTAGTGTTTGAACAACAAATTTATATACACTGAGGCATAAAAATTCTTACTAAAAAGCATGTTTAGATGCTGTGTTTGAGTTTGACAAGCTGTCACCTACAAAGGCTGATGGTGGGATGGCGGTAATAAGTGGTGSTGTTTTGGCCATGGAAAGAGGCTCAGAAGTAAATTAAGGTGAACTGCTGACAGTGGGAAATAAAGCTGGTGACACGGGGAAACAGGACAAAGTAAATAACACATCTCAAAGCTTAGCAAATTTCCCCATAGCCTCCCCGTGGAGGCATACTTTAAAGGTCTTCTGAGAGCTCTCATGGTGCTGCCTTGTCTGCCTGTTGGCTGCAGAAAAGAACTCAATATGCTTTCGGACTACTTTTTCCCTAAATTAGTCAATTGGACATGCGCTTTTTGCACAGGACCCCCTGTGGGGTCAGTGACCATGTCAGTTCCCTTTTTTGTCCCCATAGAAAACAAGTCTATGAAAGATTCAGGAATCTGTCAAATTAACCTACTGATGGGTATGGGAAAATGACATGTAGCATTTTAAACTATAACCCCCTCTTTGACTGCAGAAAGGACAAATTACGCAACTCCCAGATGGGAGGGAGAACCCTGTTTGACTTAATTTGCTTCATTTGATTTTATAACTGCTGCAATGGGTTGCAAAAGACCGATAAAATCTATTTTAAACATAGAGCATAAGTCCTACAGACTAATATTATGATTCATCTACTGCCAACTTCCCCAATTATTCTCCCTTCTTAAAGTTATGATGATAAATCAGTTGTCTTCCCGTTTATTAAAGCATGTGGCAGTCTGTTTATTTAATAATCTCTTGGCCCATTTTCTAATTAAGGGAGATAATGCAGAGCCTCATTTCCTGTCATGGYGAACCTGGCAGTCCACCGGTTATCCTCAACTACCACATTAAAATTCAAGATTATTTGTCATGCCTGCTTTGTTTGGCAACTCCTTCCCTCCTCCTTGCTCAGCTGAAGAGAAAAATACAGGCAAGTTTTTTTTTGCATTTTCACACTGCTGACACTCACCCAAGYCAAGGACAAGAAGCGGGAAGCAGGTGAAACATTTATTCAGGAGATGGTGCATCCCAGCAAAGTGAATAACCACATGATGATTCCAAGAATAATTTTGTGAAGGGAGGAATACAAAAGCAAAGCACACACCAATTGGAACACATTCCTTTACTGCTCTGCTGCTGTACTTGAGCAACCTCTACCACTCAGTCCACAAAGCTTCACGTGTCACCTTAGTGCAGGGCTGTTGATACCCACTAACTGCAGCATTAAATAATTTTTGTGCCCTCTGTATTCTAAGGCTCTTGTAMCAGCTCTAAGTTCACTTCTATTCCTATCTCTGAGATAAACTCATTTGTATCTTACTTAAGATTCAACTTCAGCATTTAACAGYTACACCTAACCTAGCATCACTATTCTGGCAGAAAAATTCTCTTTTGCAGGGCTGCCTTCTACCCCCTAGGACATATTTATATAGCATATTAAATTCTCTAATGCAGAAAAAAAAACATCAATACATTTAAACTTATCAATACATGCCAAATGAAGTGCCTTCCAGAGGSCCTTGCAAACTGTTGAAAACAGGTTAGTATATTTTGCCTGACTTCACAGACTCTCCTCCAGTCAGTGTAAGTCTACACAAGAGCCATCCATACCTGCAACAGCTCCAATTCCTGCAGAAATGCAGGCAAACATCACTTTGCCACACTTTCAAAATTATTTCTTATCAACTATGCTATACATGTCCATGCAATGTGCCTTTATGTGAAACAACTAAAATGTGATGTGGTCCTGGGTACTCTTTTAGTGACACAGAGATTTGGACTACATGATATCCACAGGTGCCAGCCCATACCTCAACTGTCCAGTGATTCTGTGTAAAAAAAAAAATTAAATAAAAATCCCAGTGATTTCAGGACYTCCTAATAGGCTGCATGATACAGTAGATTCCAAACAACGACCTATGGAAAAATGTCTCCCAGATCCCTTTTAAAGCTGGCTAAACACCCACAGTGAGGATTTCAACTGCTTTCTGAATTGTCTCTTACTTTTTCATCTCTGCTTATACTTTTTTTATTTGCATTTGCAAGCAAYAGCAAAAGCATTTCCATTTCTGGGCCCTTGCTTCTGGAAACCATGAATTTAATTTTAATCTATTTCGGTCCACAAGGAAGTGTCTGGTTTTGTTACACTGCTAATTATCTGAACCTCTGTCTCACCTCATCTATCTCACTTAAATTCAGAGTGTGCTCTAGATCTAACACACTCAATACCTTCACAAACACCTACTTAAAGCCKTAAAAAATCCCACAATTCACCTTTATATAGATAACTGTTCCCTTCACATGCATTTAAGTGACCGCTGTGAGTTACTGCCATGCTGTTACTGACCAACGAAAACAGACAGAATAAAATTATATACAGGAAGAAGCAGAAGACAAAYGAACTTCTATTTTCAAATGTCAGAATTTTCCACCTTGTATTTTTCCATACAAAATACCTTGCACTTTTCTCTTCCTTAGAGAGCCTACTGAACATTTCACAAATACTGCAGCAGATGGAATGGGTCTATTCAATGAAGCAGAGCTCATCCCTTTAAATCGTCTCTGTTGAATGACAGACCTTGTTCCTAAAGGAAACTCACTGCAACAAGTATGAGAAAGACTTGGTGAAGGAAGGAGAAAAACTTCCTATTCCCCAGACCCCACACTTACCAAAGGCTCTAGTTCTTTGCGGTCTATGAGGTTGAGCTCTGTCACAAAGTAATAAAAATGCTTGTAACAGGTGTTGACGTGGGCCTCAGCCCCCATAAGGATGATACGGTCGAAGTGATGGATGTAGACATGMACGAACACCCGGAAAAGCCGACAGAGTATCTTCTTGCAGATCTGAAGAAAATTCTTTGGAAAGGGAACACCTGTGAATAGAGAAGGCAAGGTTGTCATAACCATCCTGTCATCCTCCCAAGACACAAACTTTACTGCAAATTAGGTTATGATTTCCTAGGCCTTTCTCACAATCCAGAAGAGCACTTGATGCATTTATTTGATAGCTAGCACCAAAGATAGCCAAAGACATAATTAAACAGCTTCAATGGTTCAAGACTGACAGGAAGAAGTCCTTTTTTCTTCCCTATATTATTTAATGAAGGGGCATCCAGAACTGCAATGTTCAGAAAGGTGATTTTTACTGCAGTGCATGTCGACCCATTAATATCAATGGATCCACTGGGATCCATTATCAACCATGCAATGACTGCTCCCCAAAGTGATACCTAAGGGCTCTTCTTAGAAGTAGTAGACACTCCTCCTGCTCGTGCTACTCAACAGTGACATTTCAGAGCATCARATTTAATAACAAATTTGAAATAACTGACAGAAAGACCCCTTTGCTTTCAACTTCCTCCCAATTACCAATGTAATTACCAAGATGTACCAATCTGATTGCTCCTCTAATAGAAAATCTCTTGAAGAGACACAGGAAACAGCTCTTTCAAAACACTTTTAAAGTCACACAACTTTGTAGCTGGAGACTCAAAGGTAGCTGCATAAGCACCATTTGCAAATAAACCTTCAAGCGTTAATAATAGGGCAGCAATAACTTCTTCAAAACTTTCAGTCTTCAAAGCTCCCATTAAAGACTGATCTTGCATGGAACTATGTGCCACTGAGTTGTCTCCAAAATCTTAAGAGTTTCATCTCCTTCTGTGATTGTCTCTCAGATACAATGACTTTAGTGACATGTGTGGAACTTTACTTTGTTTTKTTGCACAGTCTCTTGCATTTTTAGTTATAATTCATGTTTTASTTGGATTTGAACCACATAAATGCAGCTATTGCTTCTCAAAAGAACCCCAAAAACCTCACAGCCAACCAGTCCCATACTCCCTAGAGGCCCAGTTCATGCTCTGAACAAGAAGAAACATTTATTATTTGCAGAAAGGAGGAGACATAAATTAACACAGTTGCAAGCCTTTCCAGTTKGCAGATTTTAGTCCCCTGTTAAATATTGCTCAGCAGTCATGAGAGTATTGAATTAATGGGCAAATTGCCCAGTTTCACTGAGGGTGATCTGAGGGCATACAGTAAGAATTTCCAAACCAAAATCAGATTTCTGATTACAGATCAAAAAATATCAATTGTGGCTGTAACCAGTCTGGATCTGACAAACACAGACATGCACTTTATTCTGGGCTCTCTGGCCAAGGAGGTACCTGGATATATGCATCCACATATGTGGATATGAACACTGATAAGCCKATCAGCATGTGAGTAGGGAAGCTCATCAGCCTGCAGAAGTGCCCTGCTCAGTGCATCCCCAATCTGCTTCTATATTTGCCATTGYTGAGGTACACACAATGTTGGGAAATGTCTTGGGGTTTTTTGGCCTRTATTGGGTTCACCAGAGTCAAATCCTTTTTAAATAATTTTAAGTAGCTTTAGAGTTGCAGTGCGGCCYTTCTCATTCCTGATATACAAACCAAGGATCAGAAAAAATAGTTGCATCTATCAAAGCACAACTACTTTATCTTCTAAAGAAATGTTTGCTTTTTGCTGTCACACCCATTCATTTAAATGTTAAAGCTGTTATGGAGATCATGGAAGAGAAGGCTTGAGTGCTCAAGACATGAACTGAAGCATGGTTAAATTACAGAAATGACAATATGTACAGATGTCTTGGCAATGTTTAAATCACAACTCCACACCTGGCTTATAGCAATTGTTAGTTCCAAAGGCAAAATAAACATAATCTATCAAAAATATTACAGAAACCCTAAGTAGTTGCTTATTAACCAGGGGCATCCCATTCATATTCCAGCCATCAGAGTATGGCTAAATTCAGGAATGAATACAGCAGCAACCYGCTTTACATTTTTGTAAAAATCTACCCAAACCAGAAATTAAAAAACTTACCCAAGAAAATGTTAAGTCTGAAAAAAGGGGAAGGGGAATAACTGTCATTTTCACTGCAAGCTGGTTTGTTGAACTGAGAGATGAATTCTAGAAAGCACTGTATATTGTAACCCAGAACAGATATGATCCAAAGTGGAAAATAATTAGTTTCATCTTCCAAGGGCTGACACACAATTGTTACTGAAGAATGTTGCTGTAATGAAGACATTCCTACTGCTGTGTTAACTAACTGAAACAATCTGAATAAACCAAGCTGATAAATCCTTTCTCTTCAGGCCATATTCCCACTTCACAGTTATAGGCAGTAAGTGCAAAAAGCCACAGAGCACTGTTTCTGCTGTAAGTGGGGACTTTAATCTGACAGTTTTTTAGATGCATTATGCAGTCAATTTGAGAACATGTAAACAACACATTAAAAAATAGCTGGTACAGAACAGACTAGGATTCATAACAAACTTTGCACTGTTTCCCCCTGATTTCCTCCCATGAATCAAGATTTCATACAAATTGTGTAGCTTATTTGCTGTTGTAGAATTTATCCAATTTAGTAAAGCTCTATCTGATTCATCTACTCTTAAAGAAAAAGTGAAACATTGCAGCTATCATTACCCAAATATATAATTTGGGTGCAGTAGAACTGGTAATGGCTCTCTGACTTCTCTCCCACTCCAGCAAAAGTGATTTACAAACTGACACCATGTCCTAAAGAGTAAAAAAGCATCTCTAGTATCACTGAAAGCAACTGGAACTGCGTAGCGAGCTACCTAGACTCCTCAGCCTTGGAGAGCCTGTCAGTCTGTCTGTCTGTCCCTGGCTCAGATGATGCTGGAAATCCAATCAGCCGCAAGGTAGAAATGAGCATATTGAAKTGGCTGCAGCCCTATTTTGAACATACACTCTGCTGCTCTTTGTGCTCGAAATTAGATAAAAGAGAACAGATTCTGACCTCAATTACAGTAGAATGAACTCAAAATAATGCCATCAAAATTGAAAAAATCAGGGCAAAATCATTCTAGATTTATATTCTGAGGTCAAAATTTCACCTAATGTTTTGTTCCCATTACAACTCTATGGTTATAAATAAATCAGCACAGAACAGAATAATTACAAGTGGCTCTTGGGAATGGGCTTAGATTTAGATAATTTGATTCGTTAAGAAGCCTGTTCTCTGTCTTTCAGCTCAGCCACAGCACCCTTAGAATCACATAATCTTCAAAGTTGGAAGAGGCCCACAAGATCATGTCCACCAAGAACAATCACTGTAGTCCCTAAAACATTAAACCACTTCACCACCACCAGATGCTTCTTGAACACTTCCAGGGATGGCAACTCCACCACCTCCCCCTGGGCAACCTATTCCAATACCCGACCATCTGACAGYAAAATTTTTTTTCTAATTACTAATCTGAGTCTCCCCTGTCTCAGTTTAAGGCCATTTCCTCTTGTCCTCTCACCGCAGGTGCAGCAGGAGTGACCAATCCCCATCTCCAGTCAGCTGGAACTTCTCCAGTTAACCAGGACTGGTGATCTGTCAAGTTCTTCCACCACTTCCCTCGTTACTATGGGGTGGATCCCATCAGGCCCCACAGACTTGTGACTAATTGACAAAGCAGGTCACTAACCATCTCCTCCTGGATTATGTGGGCTCCATCTCTAACTTCCAGCTCTGGGGTTGGCATATCCTGAGGACAACTGGTCTTGATATTAAAGACTGAGACAAAAAAGGCATTAAGTACCTCAGCCTTTTCCTCATCCTCTGTCATTACACTACCCTCTGCATTCAACACATGATGSAGACTCTCCTTAAACCTCCATTTGCTGTCAATGTATTTATACAGTATTCGTACAGTCAATGTATTTATACAGAAAGTTTTATTGTTGTCTTTAACTGAAGGCCAAGTTCTAGCTGGGCTTTGACCATTCTAATCTTCTCCCTCCATGGCCTTGCTGCATCCTGATAGTCCTCTGAATTTACATGACCCTCCTTCCAGAAACAATAGCTTCTCTTTTTCCCCCTAAATTCTGGCCAAAGGTCTCTGTTYAACCAAGTCTTCCTGAAAACTCGTCTTTCTATATGTGGAGACAGCCTGAATATTTAACATTTCCTTTCTAAAGCAGACCCAGCCTTCCTGGACTCCTTTGCTTTTCAGGATTCCTTTGCTCTTCCCAAGAGACTCTTGTCAATCAATCTCCTAGACATGCCAAAATTTGCCTGTTAGAACACCAAAGTGGAAGGTCTGCTGGTGCCCTTCCTTATTTCATGCAGTATTGAAAACTAACATTTCATGGTCACTATGCCCAAGACAGCCACTGARCACCACGTCACTCACTAGTTCTTCTCTGTTCACAATCAACTGGTCTAGCAGGACACCTCCTCTAGCTGGCTCATTTACCAGTTGGGTGAGGAAGTTGTCTCCCACACACTTCAGGAACCTCCTAGATTGCATTCTCTCTGTTGTGYTGTATTTCTAGCAGACACTTGGCAAGCTGAAGCTGYCCATGAGTGTTAGGGCTGGGGACCRTRAGACTTCTGCCAGGGCTTGTAGAATGCCTCATCAGCCTGTTCATGCTGGTTGGATGATCTGACAGATTCCCACCATGAAACCTCCCCTGCTGATCTTTCCCGTGATCTTTATCCATAGGCACTCAACCTTGCCATCTTCATCAACATCACTTGAAATACAATCAAAACACTCCCTAATGTACAGTGCTACCACACCCCCTCTGCTGCTWTGCCTGTCCCTTCTGAAGAGCTTATAATCATCTATTGCAGCCCTCCATGGGGGCTGCAGTAGGTGACTCATGGGAGTCATCCCACGTTTCTGATGGCAAACATGTTGTATTTTTCCTGTTACACAATGGTTTCAGCTCCTCCTGTTTTTTGCTGTACATTTGAAAAGCCTTTTACAGGCCACAATCACAATTTTTTTTAAAAACATGAGGGAAAAAAAGATTACCATCACCGTTGTCAAAAGCATTGACACTATTCTGTTGCAAATACAGT